AACTGCCCAATTTCTGTTTTCTTTTGAAGAGAGGAGTCCTCCTAGTGTTAGAAAAGCACTGTAGATCAGGGTACGAAATGATTTTGATGTTCCTGTTTTGTGGGTGTTTTGCTTTTGTAGCCCTTTGAAGTGGACCTTTCCCATGTTTACTTAGCCTACACTGAAGAAAGCTTGAGGCAATCACTGATGAAGCTGGAGAGGCCGAGGACTTCAAAAGGAAGATCCAGGCCCAAGACGGGTAGAAGGTGAAGAACTTTGGAGTATCTATATGGGGATTTACCCAGGGGAAGGCTTAAGTCTGTGCATGCAAACTGACCATATATCTTCAAACGGTTGCTTAATGAGAAGACACAACGCTAACTTTTTGCACGGTATAAAGTTTATTGGTGATGAGTGTGACAGAACCAAGCTGAAATCTCTTTACCACAGCAGAATTTTGTCCAGAAAGACTTGTCTGGGTGTTTTTCTAATGCCCTTTTTGCTGCATTCCCCTTTTCTGGCTTCTTGCTTTATTTTACTGTGTTCTGTGGTTCACTTTAACACCTGACACATTGACTGATGTTACTGGAAAGTAATGTGCTGTTGGGGGAGATTTCAGCATGGGTTTCCTTGGTTATTTTTGGTTTGGCTTTGACAAATACTTGGAAGAATAACATTGTGTAGTTTTAACTTGAGATGTGGCTGGTCCCTGTTTTTCCTGGACAGTGTCATGATGTGTGTATGGTGCTATTTTTCCCTTTCCTTTCTGCTCTCCAAACAGAAAACGTTCGGCAAAGCCAGGAGCTGTCATTGACTCTCTGCTGCAGTAGGTGTGACCTGTTCAGAATTGCCGTATAAATCAGTGAGTGTATAAGATTGGGCCAGAATATGGAATTCAAGAGGTGGCACAGTTTGGCTATAAAATCCATACCTTGCTGGTATGGAGCTTTATTTTAAAGAAATGTATTTTTCCTTAGTTGCCCGTATAATGTATGTTATATTAACATAATATTAAACTGGTATATATGATGGTTGTGAAATTCCATGTGTTAAATGTGTTGTGCAGGGGAACTGTTGTTGGCAATCCTTGTTGAGATGTATAGAAAATAAGGGTTCTAGATGTGTGTTTAAGTGCTATAGACGTGTTAGCTCAAAACAGTTGATGAAATCCTATGGTTTGAGTCTGGTAAACCTGATTTATGCCCTGCTTTGCACATAACTGGCAGCTTTCACTATTGTCCTCTGTTGCACTGATCCATGTTTGAATGTGGTTGCTGCAAACCTTTAGGAGCATCAAGCCCTTTTATTTAAATATCCCTCACTGTGGCTATTAACCTGATTGTGTTGTGTATGGAATACACAGTCCTTTTCCCTTCCTTTGCTGTCTTGCTGTACAAAGAAAGTAGTTGGGTAGGGGAAACATGAACTACAAAAGTCTGAGACTTCTGGGAAGGGACCATGCTCTGTTTAAGTGCAACAGAAAACAAACGTGTCTAAGTAGTGCTTTTACTTTTGTCTGTATGCCCATGATCTGGCACTGTGGGGAATGGGGCCTCTGATGCAAAAGCAAAAGAGCTCCCTTGGGTTTACTCTCCTGTTAAGGCTGTGTGGCAGCATTGCTTTGGCTGCTTTTTATGCTGTTGATCTGGAATTTTTTACATGTATGTGAATTGTTTTGGAATACCAACAGCAGAGATTATTTCAGGGGAATGCTGTGACAGTAGGACTTGGCTTCAGCCATGGGATGAGCATTATGGCTCCATTCTCCCATCCCTGGCTCCACTGGACCAGTGCTCTGCACTGAGGGTGAATTTGACTCTCCTGTTTTAAAACAGGCACGAATTACCCACAGCAGTAACATCCCCAGAAGCAGCTGATGCTGTTTGTGTTCCTGTATCATCTCTGGTTCCTGGCTATGCTCTGATGAGAGGAAACTAATTCTGGTCTCTGATAACAACCATTTCTTCGTGGTGGCTGCTCTTTTTCTTTGATATTTATGCTGCTAACAGACACATATCACTTTAATACATTGCTTCTGTGTCACAGAGAAAAGGCATTCTGAGCTGCAGGCATTGAAACAGCTCCTGTGCCAGCATGGGGGTGATCAGCTGTAACTTCATGTTATCTGGAGGTTTAGAGAGCTGTGGTCACTAACAGGGGAAATGGAGTCCTTAAGCATGACTGAAAGCACAAGACAGCTCTTCAGATGTCCTGAGCTCTTGCTAGTAGCCATGTTTGCAATTACCAGAGTGTTCTTGTGAAGTACTTAGAGTAGGTAACAGTCAATAGCCCTTTCTTATGGTTGTGATGCTTAACTGGATGTACCTTGTGGCTCTAACAGGTCTGTAACAGGATCTGTACTAGTTAAAACTGGCCTTGTAAGGGCGTAATTTGCTCTGGAGATAAATTCAGTGCTATTCTAAATGAGTTGTAAGCTTTTTTCCATGTTGCTTTTTAGCTCTGTGTTTCAGGACAATGACCTAGAACTGCCCTGTTCTGGGGGGGAGTGTCACCTAAGTTCATACAAGATGTGGCTTTGTTGCCTAAATTCATACAAGTTACAAACACTGGCATTTATTTTCTCTAGCCTAGCACTGAAAGAGGTAAATACTCAGTTGTTTTGTGGACTTAAGCTGTAATTGGCTTTGCTCTTGTAGAGCTGACCTTACTTTGAGCGTGCGTGGATAGACTTGGGTTCTCAGGCAATACCCTTCCCATGAAACAAGACAGACTGAAAACAGCTTAAATGCTGTTTTGTCTTGGGCTTTGTGTCAGTTCTGAGTCCAAGCAGGTAGATGCGTGGGTTTGGCCTGGACTAGTTCTTGGAACCAGGGATAATTGTTGTATTCCCCTTGTGTTCCATCTTGCTGTGCTAAGCTTTGAATGATCTGGTTTTGAGGGGCTTTCTGCTGAAGTGTGCTTTCAAAAGGACCATTAAGAAGTCTTTTACCTGACAGATGTCTGTCAGTGGCTGAAAGACACCCCTGTGAACCATGGCACTGCAGTTACATATTTAAAACTTAACTATAAAGGCATATGCTTTACAATTTAACCAGATTACAGTCCTGCTGCTGAAAACAATGCTATTCTACATAGTTAAGCAAGCCTTGGGCCAGAGAATACAGTAACTAACTGCTTGCACACCTTTAATTGGCAGAAGCTGGTTGTAATCTCCTGTTACAGGGGCTTGGAGTACAGATTATCTGCTCTTACAAGAGGACTTCAAATAGAAAGGGGAACTCTGTCACAGTTATGATGGTCTGTCAGCCGGGCTCACCTTTAACTGGTGTGACATGTTGCAGTTCTGGGCCCTCTTTTGAAACCAGGGAGCCTGGTTTGCAGGTTTAGCACATGGGACCCCTGTAGCCCTGGGCGATCTGTGGATGTCTGATGGGTCCATGATGTGTTTTAATGCAGAAGGAGTTTGGTTTGTGGGGGTTTAAGAGCTTAATAGAGCCTTTCTCATGCCAGGTCAGTATGTGCTCAGAGTATTTATCAAAAGTCATATTGCCATCACACAGCGTGTGCTCATCCTTGCATCTTGCTGCCAGAAGCTTCCCCTCATTCCAGAACATTGACCTTAACATTGAGGGGTTTGACGCTTTCTGTTGTTTAATGTTGTGTAAATGAATTATTTCATGTTTAACTTGTTCCTGATCCTTTCTTTAAGAGGAGGGGAAGATGGTCCTTAGTGCCTTTCACTGACTACACTGTCTGCACGTGTCCAGCTTTCACCTTCTCAATGGTTCTGCTTCGCCAGTCCTGTATATAGGATAAAACACTAGTCTGTATGATTTGTCTTCCTATTTATTGGTTTTCTAACTGTTTATTTCTGATTATTCTTTGGTTTATGATTAACCTGTATTCATAACACTGTATATATCGGTATTGTGTCCCTGGAGCATGTTCATACATGAAATAAAACTCTGGATTCCTAGTTCCACCTCTGTGCATGTTTCTCAAATAACTCTGCACATGCAGCAGCTTTCTAAGTCAGAAGATGCATCAGGAGGGGTCAAGCAGTCTGTGTCTCTGTAATGCACAGCACTCACTGGAGATGTTGGATGAAGTGAGTTTGGGGTGGGGGGACCCTATTCCCAAGCCCTAGGGCAGTGGGCGGACAGCTCTTGTGGAAGAGGTGGACAGGGCAGGACTAGAGGATGCTTTGCAGGAGTCTGGAGAAGATCAGTGGGATGAGGCCAGGCTGCAGGTCAGGAGATGTGCCCTGCGGAGCTGGTGAGCCCCCTATTCAAGCCCATCCTCTCCTGAGGAAGAGGAGAGCCCAGCTGAGCCAGAGCATGCAAGAGCAGCAGCTTGTCCACTGGAATGTCAGTGCTGCCTGTGTTCTGCCTCTTGCTGCACCCATGCCCAGCATAGGTGGTCCAGCTGATGGAGAGATGCTTTTTACACTGTTCTGCCTTGAAGGGTCCTTGTGCTGCCCAGTGAACCTGTTGCCCTGGATCCATGCAGGTGGTGTGAATTCCCCTGCACTCACTGGAACTGCTGAGCTCTGTTTCCTCTGGAAGACCCTCCAGCCTGCTCATGCAGTAGGTAGCAGGTTGGTTGTGCTCTGCTAACACTGCAGCTCCCCTGAGTAGAGACTCAGGTGATAAATGAACCAAACCCTGCGCTGTCCTGGGGCTTTCCAAAGTAAGTTACAAAATAGGAGACTTCATGGTTTTAACCCTGTTATTTCTAAAGCCCCAGTTCCATCTAGTGCTCTGGAGCCAGCACTCCCCCTCCAGGCCCTGGTCACCCCTTTCCAACATCATGGATAGAAAATACCCATCTATCCATAGCCTCTTCTTATGTCCCTCAGCATCTCTGCTGGGCTTGGTCTCACCAAGAGCAGGGGGCCTCGAGGCTCTCAAATGTGCTTCTGTGCTCTCCGGTTTCTAGCCAAGAACCATCTTGCACAATGTCAGCAAATTTAGTCCCAAAATAGATTTATTTAAAGAATTATTATAAATAATCTCTGAAATACGGCATCATAGTTTACAAACATAAAACAAACTGGTTTTTCACTTCAAGCTCTGGCCTTTTACTAGTTGTTGGAGTGCTCTGTGCAAGTCCCGTAGGAAGTCATTCAGGGAGGTGGTGCTGCCTCCTGCCACAGGGCATGGGGCCTGGAAGAGGGAAAAATGGCCATTAGGGTGTTTGCTGGGGGGGATCTGGTTCTGCAGCGAGGTCCTGGCTGCTGCTGGTGGTGCAGGAGAGGATGGGCTGAGAGCAGCAGCAGTGGCTGAGGGAGAAGCTGAGGCCGTGAGCAGTGAGGGGAGACCCTGGGGTACCTTGTAGACAGCGCTCTTCCTTTGGACCAGCCTGAGCAAGTTGAGGAAGATGCCCTCCAGGTGCCTGTGGCAGCTCCGGCTTTCCCAAGCAACTGTGGTGGCTTTGCATAAGGTCTCCAGGTCATTGTCTTGCTGGAAAAAGACACGTGGTTTTTGAGACACCCTTTTGTACAGTCACTGCCTCATCCGCAGCAGATTAAACCAGTGCAAATAACCACACACTGGTTTGAGTTGATGGGACCTTAAAGCTCATCCAATCCCAACCTCCTGCCATGGGCAGGAACAATAACACATTTCTGTTCCTAAGGGCAGGTACAAGGTAGAGCGGGAGATGTCGGAGCCCCCCTGGTGAGGAGGCTGATGGTGAGAAGTCCTGGCAGAGCTCAGCACAGCGGTGACCACCCTCCTGCTTGGAGCATTGTGCTCCTGTTGTGGACGTGAACGTGGGACCTGATGCTCAGGGAGCTGCTCCCTGTAGGTCCCATGGGAATAGAGCTGGTTTTGCAGGGCAGAGGCTCTATGGGAATAACAAAAGCCCCTGGGAAGAGAAGAGGTTGCCTCCATGAGGTGCTTTGAGTGCTTAAAGCCCCATAGCAGAGACACATGGAAGATGAGGAACTGGTAAGTGAAATGCTGGTAATAAAACTATTGAACTGTCTTCCCTGGGGGAAGTTCCCAATACAGGGAAGGTCACTGAGCTCTGCCTGCTCAGCTCTCCTCAGCTTTAAACCAAATGCCACCATCAAATAAGTGACTACCCTGTCCCCGTGAGCACAGGTCTGCGGGTCCTGGCTCATCCTGGGCATCTCTCCTTGCTCCCAGGGCCCTTCCCTATGGCAGGAGGGTGCAGGGACCCCCAGGGGATTCTCAGCCCCCCGAGGGAGGCTGCTGCAGCTCTGGGCTGGTGCCTGTTGGTGCAGCTCGGTGCGAGGGCATCGGCTTTCTGTGAAAACAGGAACTCTGGGGCCGGGGAGCTCGGCTTAGGCAGCGTTTTTCAGAGCAGAAATAGGCTTTACTATCTGCTATTAAATCTGCTAACTGAGGAGCCTTCCGCAGATAAGGGGCTAAAGAGGGATAGTGTGTGTAACCAGAGTGTGCGATAGGTGCGTGTGGGTGTCTCTGAGGTGGTGACACACTGCTCCAAGGCAAAGGAAGAAGTTCCTCTCTTCCTTTCTGAAAAGCTTGAGAACCCCTGAGTGCTGCTCAGACACACGCTGCCCGTTCCTGCCCGTCCCTCCGGCCTCCCCTGTGCCTCCGGGATGGCCGGGAGCAGCTGCTTCGGATGGAGGTGGTCGAGGGCACCAGTGATGCACCAATGGGCCCCTTACTGCTGTGCGGTGCTGCAGGACTCCCAGGGCTTCACACCTCCCTCCTGGCCACCCCGTGTTCTGCTCTGCCCCAGCATCGTCTCCCAGTGCCCATCGTGGCTGTACGGTTGTTTCCAAACAACGACAAGTTCCTCTTTTTCTCTCTTACCTTATTGCCCGCAAAAACGTTTGTCACGTTCATCTTGTCACAGGAAACCTTTATGGAGACAGAAAGGAGTGATCAGGCCAAAGAAAGTGCGAACACGGATCCATCCTGACACGAGCAGACACACACCCGTCCATCCATCCTTCCATCCTCCCAGTGTGCTGCGAACCGCTCGCTCTGTGCCCGCCTTTGCCTCCGCATCGCTCTCAGCCAGCCTGGCACAACCCCTCATCCCTAAGGCTGATCCTCAGGTTGAGCCCTACCTTTGCCTCCTGGAGCTCGTCCAGCAGCCTGATGCTCTCCTTCAGCAAGTTGGAGGTGTGGAGCAGAGCGGCTGCGTGGCAGCCTGACAGCGCCAGCAAGGTGAGCAGCACCGGCACCGGGATGCTCATGGCCTTTGTGCACTGAACCCTCTGCTGCAGGTTCTGGATATTTTGGTGCTTGACACCTGGGTGTGCTTTTCTGGAAGAACCATCTCAATTTATGGCTGTGAAATTGCTGAACCTGTAGGAAAAATCTCATTTTTCTCTGATCTGCACTTTCCAAAGTTGTTCCCATCCAATTAGGACAATAGGTCTTTAGTGTAAAAGTCAAGATTTTCTTCTGATCTTGCATTACGTTTCAACGTAGGAAATTTCCACCCTAAGATAACACTGGTAGGAGTCAGGTCACGTACGAGAGAGGTGTGTGTAAACTCTCAGGTTCGGGGATTCTTCGTTTCTACGTATCCCAACGCTTTCTCTCCACCGTGAGGTGAAAGCGGCCAAACCAAATCTGACCACACTCCGAGAGCGGAGCTTTGCCTTTTTGTGTCTCTCTATCCATCCTGTGAGCTCTTCCACCTTGTGTTTCATTTGAATATCTCCAGATCATGCAAAGCACCCTTCATCTGTGTGTGATTTTCTGTCTGTGCTTATCTTACCCTGTGCTGGAGAGAAACAGAAAGCGCAGCAGAGCCCTGCCTGGGGCCCGGGGCACAAACACCTCCTGGGTAGGAGCGGGCATCGCTGGGGCTGGGGGTTACAGAGAACTGGGGCCCTCCAAGGGATCCCTAAAACAACGTGACCCTGTGTGGCATCCTATGGGATGTGGTGATGGGCAGGGAGCTGGTGCAGAGCGGTCCGATAGTGTCGATGCTGGTGCTCGCATGGGGAAATGGGTTTTGTGCCTCTGCTCCAGCACCCGGCATCCTGATGAGCTGCAGCATCACTCCATGGCCTGGACCTCATTCCCTATCCTGTTCTGCCCTGCTCAGGAGCGAGGATCAGGCCATGGGCTCTGCTTGGCACCACCAACCAGCTCCACTGCAGGAAACCATGCTGAGAAACGAGCTGAGCTGGGAAACTTCGGAGTTTTGTAATAACTAATAGGTATTTTTGTAACTCAAATAGCAACTTGCCATCAGATGCTTGATAAGAGGCTGCGAGTGCTCGATTAATCCGGGAGCAGCCAGACTGAGAGTGATTGTGTTTGTCTAATTGCGAAATGCCCCAGATGAAGCTGGTGCCACTGACTCAGAAAGACCTTTGCGAGGGATTTGCCGGTGGAGCGTTGACATTTCCTACCTGTGCCACCTCGAGGGACAGCAGATAAGCAATGGAAGTGGTGGCCTCCATGGACAGCGGCCATAGGGCCGGGCTCCTCACTGGCATGCCTGGAGCAGCCCCACTGGGCTGGAATGGGTGGTGGTGAGAGGCTCCCTGGTGGATGCTGGAAGAGGGGATGGATTTGTGGTCCCATCCCGCACACACAGTGGTTTCCCCAGTGATCGTGATGCAAAGCTCTAGAACTGGAGTAAAGGAGCAGAAAATGCTACATTAACAGAAAAACGTAACCTTTGAGCTACTCGGGCTGAATCATGGTGGAAAACTGCATCACTGGCGATGGGAAAGCCACCGGTTGCATTGGGCTTGTGTGGCAAGGGTCTGGTAGCGGGGGCTACAGGGGTGGCTTCTATGAGGAGGTGCCAGAAGTGTCCCCCATGTCCGGTAGAGCTATGCCAGCAGCTCTAAGACGGACCCACGGCTGAGCCCGTCAGCGGTGGTGGCAGCACCTCTGGGATGACAGTAAGAAGGGAAAAACCCCTGTGCAACAGCAGCCAAAGAGAGGAGTGAGAGTATGGGAGAGCAAGAGCCCTGCAGTTCCCAACGTCAGTGCAGGAGGAGGGAGAGAATTCGGGAGTGAAGCCGAGCGTGGGAAGCAGGGAGGGATTGGGGGGGAGGGTGTGTTAAGATTTGGGTTTATTTCTCATTATCCTGCTTTGACTTTATTGTAGCAAATTAACTGATTTCCTGGAGTCACGTTTTACCCACGGCGGTAACTGCTGAGTGATCTCTCCCTGCCCTTTCCTTGACCCACCAGCCTTTTGCTGTGTTTTCTCTCCCCTGCCCAGTTGAGGAGGGCAGTGACAGAACAGCTTTCTCTTCCCGCATCCTATCCTGAGGGTGGGATGCAGCTGATGCAGCAATGGCTCCACTGCTGGCAGGGGGGATGGCCCTAGCTCCATGTGGTCCCCATCTCTGCCCATGTGGGGTGGGAGGGATGTTTCCAGAGCCCCGGCTTTGCCTTCACCCCAGCCATCCTTCATGGATGAACCTGCTGCCGCTTCCCCTGCTAAAGGAAGGTGCTCGTTGCAGGAGGTGTTCTCTGTTCTCCTCCTCCCCGTTGTGCTCTGTGGATTGAAGCATCTCCCCATCACACGGGATCCTGCTGGTGTCCCTGCGGCCCCCGAGCCCAGGGCTCCACTCAAATCCCCCACCAGCAGCTCAGCTTCCTGTGGCTGGAATTGGAGGATCCCAGGGCAGGCGCTGTGAGAGGGAGCCACACACCCCCCCAGGTAAGTTTGGGCTGCAGGGGCAGGGATGTGCCGCTGGTTTCATGCCTTTTATTGCCCACCAGGCCTGGTGCTGGTGCTGATAATGCTGGGGGTTACCCAGAGCAAATCCAAAGGCTGCGATTAACACCCCATCATGTGCATTTATTGCAGTTTCCTGCATTTATAATGATTTCCAGCAGCTGTTTGGACTGATTATTTCCTACCCCTGTACCTGCTGCAGCTCATCCCAGCTCCTCCAGCCCTTCCTTTCACCCGTGTTTTCCTATACCACAAACCAGGTGGGTTCATTGGTGCCTTTTGCTTTCTTGAAAACTTGCTTTTGGTGGCAAACTGGGTGCATTTGCTGTGTATCACCCCAAAACCTGGACTGGGCTCGGAGCAACCTGCTCTAGTGGAAGGTGTTCCCTGCCTGTGGCAGGGGTTGGAGCTGGAGGAGTTTTAAGGTCCCTTCAACACAAACCAGTCTGGGATTCCATGATCCTATGAAAAATGCCAGCCTTTCCCCTCCCCTTCCCACCCCATGCCAACTGACCAAGGGGGCAGCACCCCCCGATGCTCTTCATTAACTGCTGAGGGTGAGAAGAGGGGAATGAACAGCAAAACCAAGAGCTTGTTTGTCAGTAATTTATTGCTTAAGCCCTGAGACACTTTTATAACATCAGTGCAAGGTTGAAATGGAAAAAAAAAAAGATAAAATGAAGCATCCAAATACGTGGAATTTGAATATATTAACTCTGTCATTAAATAGAGGAAAGAACAATAAATTATGAATCACTTGCTGTCGTGGAAGGGCAGTCGGGCAGTGAGAGGTCCCTAAGAATGAGGTAGCAGTATGGTCAATACAACTGTTCCACAGACCTGCTTTTGTATAACTTAAACGACCTGAACAGTGGCTTTTCCTTTTTGTGGTGGGTCCCAAGTGAAGAACAGCTTTCACCAGCCAGGACTTTTCTGGTCTTTAATCTTTAGATTATGGAGTATAAAAATAAGTTATTTAAATAAAATACAATAATAAATAAACTCCCGAAGTGTGGTGCCAAGGAGCACCCGCTAGATCCAGAGCTGTCCTACAGCCTCTCCCAGCCTTCACGAGTAATAACTCAAAACTCTATGATTCTAAATGCCCACCAGTGGTGCAGAAGACCCATTCAAGGCTGAGTGCACAGCCCTGGCAGCTCCCTCCCTCTGCTGGTCCCCTCCTGGCTCTTGCTCTCGGCTGCTGCCCTCCCCCAGCTCTGCTCCCACAAGGAGTCACCTCCCTGCGTGCTGTAGTAACTTGTTAGTGAAAAATGCATCATTTCGGCCTTAGATTTTGATCTCTTTAGGAAGAGATGGTGGTTGTGAAGAAGCCTTCCTTCATTAAGAGGAACAGGAAGCAGATAACTTGGTTTTGGTTTTGGTAGCTGCTGCAGGAGAAGGTGAACGAATTAAAGCTCAGCCTCCTGCGATGCTCCATCCAGGCGTGATGTTCAGCTCCTCCCGGCTGGGCGAAGCCTTCCCAGGGGAGTCTCGCCCCTCCCAGGGGATGGGATCCCTCCCGAGGGGTCTCATCCCACCGGGTGCCAGCTGGAAGAGCCTCAGGGCTGTGAGGTCTTGCCTTATCCAGACAAGACCTCTCCCACAGAGCTTGAGTAAGGTCTAACACACAGGACTTGGTGGAAAGCTTGGGAGATGCCCAGCACCTGCCAGGAAGGGGACATTTCCCACCAGAGCTGAGCAATCCCAGGTTTTGGGACTTGCTGTTAGGATTGCATTGGGTTTAGGAGGGCTGGGGCAGAGCTGAGGAAGTGCATACAACGAAGAGCAAAAAACCTCTGCAAGACCTGTTTCGGAGCTGCCAGCGGTACAACCCGTGCGCGCGGGGCCGGCAGCGGTGGCTCTCCTGTCTCACGGTGCAGCCAGCGTGGCCAGGCGCCTGTACACCCCCTGGGTGAAGTTGCCCAGCTCCGGTAAGAAGTTGCGCAGGTAGATCTCATTTTCATCGCTCAGGGAGCAGCTCTGGGGAAGGAAAAGAGTCACTTCAGAGCTGCCAGCAGGATTTAGCAGCTGAGTGAGGCCACCGGCCCCTGCACATGGTTTGTTTCCATTGCCTCTGCCTCCACATACATAATTCAACAAATAATACACAACTGTGAAGACAGAATCTCAGCCTGGTTTGGGTTGAAGGGACCTTAAAGCTCCTCCAGCTCCAACCCCTGCCCCGGGCAGGGACACCTTCCACTAGAGCAGGCTGCTCCAA